TACGTACAATTCAGACGCCTGCATGAAGAAATCGCGCATATAAAAAGGGCAACCTAACTCAATGCGTTCTGCTCCTGCACGACAATGTGCAAGCTCACACATCCCAAGTTGTGATGGCTACTGCAATTGACTGCGGCTTTGAAATACTTCCCCATCCCCCATATTCTCCGAACTTTGTCCCCTCTGGCTTCTTCCTGTTTTTGAAACTGAAAACCAAGCTTCGTGGTAGGCTTTTTAGAAGCAATGAAGGTGACATGGAGGCCGTCAAATTCTTTTAGGACCATTTTAAAGAGTGCTATTTTGAAGGGTTAAACAAATTGGAGCACAGGTGGGCAAAGAGCATTCATGTTAAGGACGATAATATTTAAAAGTAAGGCCATAAGTTGGGTTATCTGACTATCGGAAGTACATCGGGCCGAGAACTTTTCGATCAATCTTCGTATGCTCATTCTTGAGTAAAATATTTTTATTATAGACATTTATTGACATCTATGAAATTCTTACTGAATATGTCAAAATTGGAAAAGAATGATTAAACTATGTATGGTAAGCTGCATTCCCTATTGTATGTCAAGTGAAATAGGTCTTTTCTATAAAAAACAACCAGTTTTTAATGACACTATTTAGGTCTTTTCTTACTGTGACCACTTATAGTATGAAACGTTTAAAACATAACATATCACTTTGTGGAGTCAAAACACGTTTATTTTATATTTATAAAGAAATTGTGTATCCATTGTCAATATTTTATAATATATCTTTTGAGCATAGAACATCTTTAAACTATAATTTGAAGAAATGCCATGACCTGGGGCATTTAAGCTTATGCGGTCCCTAAAAGGGCCAATCAAATCAATATGAGCAAACTTGATAAAGACTACCTAAGATTGCTACAGACAATGTTTGGTGATCACCCATCAATTATTTCAATAGGAGATGATGTTCAAAGTTTTTTTTATTTTTTGGCTTTGGCGGCCCCTACACGGGGCCCAATCACATTAATAGGAGCCAACGTGAGAAAAAAACTACCTAAGAATGCAACAGACAAAATTAGGTGATCATCCATCAATTAGTTTTGTAGAAGGGTGCGTATTAAGGTGTTTCTTTGTTTAGCTTTAGCGGCCCCTAAAAGGGACCAATCAAATAATTATCATTTTGTATGAAACCGATGACATTGTATATACATGTAGTTAAACAAATATTACAAATTTGTAATTTAACCTTCCCATTTTAAAATTTGTTTATGAAATAAGTGCTAAGTCAGGTGATGTTTATATTGAAAAGAAAGTACGTGATCGTTAAGATGAACAGTATACTTGTATATTATATTCACACATCTTTATATTAACGATTTAATAATGAACAAACTTGATAAAATTCTACCTAAAAATAATACATACACAATTTGGTGATCATCTATCAACTAGTTCTGTAGAAGGAAATGTTTCAAGGTATTTCTTTTTTTAGCTTTAGAGACCCCTGAAAGGGGCCAATCAAATTAATATGAACTTACTTGATAAACGACTACCTAAGAATGCTACAGAAAATGCTTGGTGATCATCCATCAATTAATTTATTAGAGGGAGACGTTTAAAGGTAATTCTATATTCTATTTTTAGCTTTAGCGGCCCCTAAGCGAGTTCATCTTAGCAAAATTGATGAAAGACTACCCAAGACGACTGACAAACCCCCTTTGATACTAATAGCTCACCCTGAAACTTTAGTTTTGGTGAGCTACAGAAAACAGTGACATATGAATTATTTCCGGTATGCTTACATAATAATATGATATATATAAACATTATAAACTGCAATAATTTGGGAAACAGTTCTCAGGAGGTAATGTGAGGTATAGGTGCCAGATGTGACATCATATTGCGTGTAAACTTTCCTTTTCATACTGTATAGGCACTCAGTTGCTCAATGTATTTATAAGAAAAGCAATGTTGACGAGTAATAAACTCTTACACTTATTTTATATTATATAAAACAACTGGAAAAATTATTGGAAAGTAGCTTCATATAACCGTGTCGACCTATGACTCTCAGAAATAGAAAATCTCAACTTATAATCTGCTTGCCTCCAAAATGCTCCAAACGAACTTTACCTATAAGATTTGGCGACTTATGATAAAACGAAGAAAGATATGTGATTACAACCATTGCAACTATTTCTTGTTTAATGCATGGATTTAAATCAAGTTACTTTTCAGATAGGAAACATGAATTATGTTTTACTCAGTGCAATAACTTTATACAACAATGTTAAAATATTTATGCATAGAAATAAGGAAACAATTCGTTATATACATGAACACAAAATTCAGTATTCACATTCACTACGATATAGACTAAAATAAAGGACCAACAAGGGTTTTAAAAACATAAAAAGTCTGTTATATAATTAGTATGAGTGCATGTTTTGTAAACAAAAACATACCATATCATATACCCGTGCCCCTTTTGCGGCTCCGTAAAAATAATATTGCACGGCCTTGTATATATTTTGATGTCAAGTTATTTGCGATTTACAGACGAAATGTAGAGACGCGCCAAACGTTAACGCGTCAATGAAAATGAGTCTTTTTACTTTACACGATCTTAATTTTGGTACTTGAAAAAAAAAGAATACTAAATTCGTTTAAGTTCATTACTTAATTTATTTTACTCGTTGACTAAAGTAATATCATGCTCGCCAGATACTTGGATATTATAATTTTATTTAACTCTTTCAATAAATTCAGTATTAAACTAACACTCATTCAATATCCTCTATGTATTTTATAGTTGGTTATAGCAATAAACATGTTTCTATTTGACAAATCATTTAAAAATATAGCATAGCATTATCTCTAATCGAGTGATATTTCCATAATAAATCAAACAGTTTCTTCCATTTCTCACAGGTGCAATTGATCACGAGGTACCGTCTGTAATTACCGCTGTCAAATTTCAATAGAAACGGAATGCGTGTTATGTATATTCGTAATATATAGACATTTTAACTTACAAGTTATTCCTTTTTATTGTCCGGAATTCGGAATACCGAATTTCCTGGTTGGTGAGGATTTTTACACGATGGAAATAGAATGAAAATAATCGGGACCCTCAGAAATGTCCGGTTTACTGAGCGTTCCGTCTTAATGCAGATCCGTTTTTCGGGTTTCTACTGCACATATATAAATTCTATTATCGTTAAACGGACTCGGCCATGCACTTTTATGAAAAAGTCATTTTCTATCTAAGCGTAACATTAACCTGACTAACATATCTGCATGGATTCTTGAAAACAATTCTTTGTATCAAACTGTTCGCTATGAATCATAAGAAAGTTGACATATCTTCATAGAATGTAGATCAAATTTTTTTATTGACATGTGATCTTGGATTTTTTTTCTTAAGACTGTTCAAAATAGTTTCAAATGGAAACAAAGAATTTACGACAATATTAAGTATTTAATAAGTTTACAAAAGCAGATAATTTAAAAGATGATTTCTCGGTTGTTAAATGCTTGAGCATACAAGATTGCATCCAACTGTTGATTAGAGCAGATGTGTACATCATATATAAAACATCTTTTTCTTAGCAGGCGTGCATCAGAAATTTCTTGCTGAGTTTAACCTTTTTGTAAAGGCATATTGCTCAATTACTATCTTAGCAGCATTTTCATGTAATTTAAATGTATTAAGATACAGTTAAAATTTTATTAACTTTAAAACAGTCATAATATTAATAATACATACTAGATTTTAACTTGTAAGAAATGTGCCCTTTTCACATTTGCTCTCATAAACAGACTGAATCAATTCGAGTCTTTACAAGTTTGTTGTTTTCCTTGCTTCTTAGGGATCCACCATTTTCTGTATTTTTAAGCTTCAACAGCAGGTGTCCTGTGTAGTTTGACAGCTGTAAAAAGTTTCGCGTATTCTTTTCAGTGTTGTTTAATTGATTCCAGCACAGTTAGTGTTGGAAATGAAATTGAATACCGATTTAATTGGTGCTAGGGGTCATAAGGGATGTTTCACATTAACATTATCTCTTATCAATATACTCCAACGAAGACTGCAGTTTTCATATTATGAGTAAGCGTTTCTTTTCCCAATGTTTTTTCCTCTCCACTTTTTTAAGTAAATTAAGCACATAATTGTAAAGAACCAGCACCATATTCTAAATTTGTTGCATTTAATAAAAGTATTATTACAATAACTTCATATCACTCAACAAGATCGACTTGAGTTACCATTTTAGAACATAAGTATCAGATACATAACAAGGTTTAAAGTTGCTTTACAGCTATGAAGAAATTAAGAAATATTATCCATTTAAGCAACAGAAGATTGCATTGTTATATCCATGATTTTGTTCCTATACACATAGATCTTATTTATATTAAAATGAAAATATCGTTACTTACGAAAACAAAATTGTTAAATGTTGAACATTTATGACATTCTCATGTCGATGTAATATAGGCTAAAATAGCCGAATATACTTCCTGACTTGATGTGAATACTACTGCATTGGATATAAAGATAAATAGGCTCACAAAAATATATTGAATGCCAAAAGAAAGGAAGCTTGCTATTTCCAAACTATTCAGCAGAAGTAGATAATAAATATTGATATTCAAAATGGTAATAAAATACAAAAGTAATATGGATATGCATTTAATTAGTGAATGCGTTAGTGAATAAGCAGCAATAGATTGACAACTGATTCATATAATGATAAACAAGAGTTTGTTCGCTAAAATGTGTCAGCTGAAATAACCAAAAATCGGTATGCTTTAAGCGTAATATCAAATCCACATCAGTCACAATATAACACTTGCTTTTAGAGTGATAAACATTTTTCTATTTTTGTTTGTTTGCGCTTTCTTCTTTAACGCATATTTTGAAAATAAGAAAGATCAAACATGATACATTACAGATACTGTATTTAAATTTCATGTTCATCTGCTTACAAATATATATTACTTATTTCATTTAATTTATTTCAGAAGTGGAGAAGCTCAAAAGAGGTAAGAAATAAACTATACTTTTGTTGTAGCTTCATGTTTCTTCTTAGTGTTCTGATAAGTGTGGCCAGGTAGACATATGCTTAAGAATGAATGACTGCTATCAAGTTTTGAGAAAGGAAGTATAAAGTTGATGATGAAATCACAATAGCAAATTACACAGGAGCAAATGCAATGCAATGTTTATTAAAGACAAATTTCACTTTTTAGGCTTGAAACAACTTGACTGTATATTATTTATTATTTCATGTAACAATACAGCGTGTCAAAAGAAATTTAAATATAAACATATAAACAACAAATTGTTAAAAAAAATTAAACCGAAACTGTTTAACTTAATCAATTATTTTTGACCATTGGCTTCGTAAAATGTACATTACTTACTCTTGTAATACAATAAAAAACACTACATAAGCTACCATAGCAAAAATAAACCGAAAAAAATCTTTTACATAAGATGTCTTGGCCATTTTACATAATTTACCGGCACATGTTATTAACATCTTTATCTGATTCCATTTTAAACCTGCAAAACCTTGAAAAGCCTTACTTAAATTTAAGTCATGAACGATTTCTTGTTCAATTCTAATAATATAATTAGACAATGCGCATGCTTTTACTTTAAGATATTTTATACTTAATGCAGAACCTCTTTACTGAAGAGTATTATATTTAATTGAAGATACTAAGTTTATGTCGGTCGTGGGTTCAAGCGACTTGGGCATGTTTTCCTTTTTGTAAATATTTACTCTTTTCGTTTTGTTAGAGTAATGTTTACATTCAGAAAATAATTTGAGTAAAGAAGGAAATACAAATTTATGCTTTGTAAATGTTAAATGGGTGACAATAGTGTAGTTTTACAACTTGAAATATTTATATTTCTAAATCAGGACGGTAACCCTCCCTCAGTTTAAGCACTATAATTTTAAGTATTGTGTCTAGATAATATTTATATGAAGATGTAACGATGGCCCATTGAATGATAAAGAATATTAAAAATATTCTGAACCCACACTTTTTCTGTTTTATCAATTCAGATACCGGTAGATACCAGTTTAAGATAACTTAATTCAATGTTGAAATATGATTTTCTTTGGTTTTGTTTCTTTTTGTTTCAAAACTATGGCTTTTTCTGTCCTCTTCTTAAGCTCAATTAAGATGAAATAAGAAAAACTTATTTGTTATTGTTCTTTGGAACTAATGCAAATATTTTACTTAAGTCATTTATTCGCTTTTTTCAAACAACAGGTAAGCTTTTATTATTTTTGATTTTATGTTAAGATATGATAAAGTTTAATAATGTAAAATTTTAGATTTCTACAATTGTGAAACACCTTAATGATAATGGTAACTTGAATTTCATTTTAGCCTATAAAGTAAATGGAGGAATATATTCCTTGTTTATTAACCATTTTGCACCCTTATAAAAACCTGACAAAAGGTAGTCAGTTGTCAATATTGACAGTTTATATTAAATTAAATATATTATTTTATTAATTTCAGGTGTAGTGAAAAATCTAATAAAAGGTAATATGAATTGTGCTTTATACTAGACAAAACTTCTTCTGCGCTTTTGTAAATATTTATTTATTTATTTATAATCTGTAAACTACTTTATAAAAATGATTAACATAATACATTCATGCCTCTTAATTATTCTTTAATTAAGTTTTTACACTGAAATTGAAAAGCACATAAGTTATAAACGGTATTCACTTTATCTCAGTTACTTGGTATTTTTGCTGTTGCCTGTCATATAAAAATAAAAATTTTGTATTCCTCGTGTATATCAGCTTCTACATGAATGAAATTCATTTGATTTTGATTAATTTCAGATGATGAAGACATTTCTAAAGGTAAGAATAAATATATAAATTAGAATGCAGGAAACATATATCAGTTTTGAGTTCGACACAGCTTTTTAGAAATAATGCACAGTCGAGAACAAATGTACACTACTATAACCTCACAGGTCCGTAGTTACAAAATATTTAAACAATCAAACATGATCTTTGTAAAAATGAAAAGAAGTGACACATTAATTATTTCCAATGTTCAAACATAAATTATATCATTATTAACATAACAAACTGCATAAATCGGGAAAACAGTTTTCAGGAAGTAATTTGTGGTATAGGTGCCTGATGTGGCGTCATATGGCGTGTAAACCTTCTTTTTCATATTATGTGCATGTATCGTGATATTAAAGACTATTTCGGTTTTGACCTATGACTCTCAGAAGTACAAAATCTCAACTTAAAGTCTGTTTGCTACCAAAATGCACCAAACGAAGTGACGGTCACCTTAAAGATTTGGCGAAGCAATATTTAAAGAATAGAGATATGTGATAACAACCATTGCAAATTTTTCTAGGAAAAAAATGGATTTCAGTCAAGTTATTTTTCGGAAAATCATGTACACTCCTTCTTTTATTCTAGTTTATAATGTATGTTACGATTTTATGTTGTATTAAACAATTGATATTTTACACATATGTTTAGATACACTAAAAATTATCGGTTTGATATTAAAAGAACGGAATTTATACACACTAATGTATCTGATCTTTTGAAAAATAAGTACTATACAATAAATATGGAAATGATGAATATAATTTCAAAGTACTAAATAATGTTAAGATATATTCTGATGCCACGCTTCATAAATCAAACTTTCCAGATAATAAATTGTTCAATTCTAAGTTTGAAAAACGAGGTTTACATATTGCACTCCTCAACGTGAATCACTTAATGCCTAAAATAAACGAAATAAAATACAATTTTTTAAACAAATCGAATTCGAAATACGGTTGCATAAAAGTGACATTTGCAAATTTATTTTTTGTTTAGTTTTTGATACTTTTTTTTTATTTTTATTTTTTTGTTTTTCGTACATATTTCTTTTTTTTAGTTCTGCATACATGTTTTATTTTAGTTTTGATTGCATATTTTTTTTTAGTTTTGTATAATATTTCATTTTAGTTTTGATAACATATATTTTTTGTTTTGCATACATATGTTTTTACTTTTGCATTCATACTTCATTCATGTTTTTCGTTCATATTTATTTTTGTTTTTTCGTACATATTTTTAGCCAATCAAACAGCCTTCACATCTCATAAGAATAAAACACGGTTACAATAGAAGCACAGTGCTTTGGTAACATTTCGGCCCATTTTTGGAATCGGCCTAGTCGTTTTCGGCCGGGCAAGTCTGGTTTCGGCCGAAAGGCCGACCCTTTTCGGCCCACTTTTTAAATTATAATAATGTATTTTACATAATTATTCTTTTTTATTATATACAATTATATAAGTGTCTATTTGGAAAGGCCTGTTGATTGGTGATCAGTAATTATTCCATGAATATGCACCACTCAACCCCACACCCTGAGAAAAGCGGGGGGGGGAATGGGGCATCGACTTTAAAATAAGCCGATCACTGCTACAATATTCGCCCTGCAGGGCATACCCAGATAATAACATTCCTGCCTTATTCCGCCCCGGAACAGCGCAAACGGCAAAACATGATTCTTTTTTTAACCCGCACTCCCCCAGGGCGAGGGAGGTGGTTAAAAATGACTGGTGTATTACAATAATGCACAATAAAAGATCTAAATAGGTCCTTATAATCCAACTTGGTTAGAAAAAATGCTTAAAGCTTTGAAGGTTTTTTATGAATCAATTGTTTAGCACTTCCAGATAATGTGCAGAACTTATATGCCTGGTGTGTCGGCTCAAGGTCGGGGTCACACATACAGGTCAAAGAATTGTGACTTGGGTTTCATGCCCGCTCCTCATCTCCTAAACCCTATGAAGGATTTTCATGCACATTGAGCACGTTAACCACATCGAGAACATATGCAGAACCTTTCTTTGCGTCACCGCAAATTTATGTATATATATACTAAAAACTGTTGTTTTTTTTTGATGCCTCCAAAAATGAAAATTTTGGTATTTGCAAATGGAGTAACTATCCACACCTCTACTTTGCAAATGACGTCATGTATAACTATGTACAAAAAAAATAAAAAGGGGAGGAAAACTAAAATAAAATATGTTTGCAAAACTTAAATAAAATATGTATGCAAAACAAAAACAAAAAATATGTACGAAAAACTAAAAGAAAAAATATATATGGCGTCATGTAAAAATATGTACAAAAAACAAAAATAAAATATGTACGAAAAACTAGAAATAAAATATATATGTAAAACTAAAAAAAAATATGTATGCAAAACTAAAAACAAACAAGAAAATGTACGAAGAAATAAGTATCAAAAACCAAATCAAAATATGTATGCAAAAAAAAAAAAAATAAAAACTAAAAGAAAAAATATATATGGCGTCATGTAAAAATATGTACAAAAAACAAAAATAAAATATGTACGAAAAACTGAAATAAAATATATATGTAAAACTAAAAAAAATATGTATGCAAAACTAAAAACAAACAAGAAAATGTACGAAGAAATAAGTATCAAAAACCAAAAAAAAAAATGTAAATGTCACTTCTATGCCACCGCACGTAATATGGTAAAGCAATTTAATTGTAATAGGGTTTATTCCGTGCGTATGTGAACACTCTTTCTAGTATGTTCTTAGGAAGTGTCTCTCTTACACCATGTATCTAGTAAATTAGCTATACATGTATGTCTAAGATGACTTATGCTTTTTTTAATATAGTGGTGATGCATAATTGCTAGAAAGAAACAGCTGACTTTGAACAAGTTCGTTTATCGTGTGGTTTAAGTTTCATAACGTTTACTACTTCAGGTCTAATCTAAACAGGTGGATTGTAAACTTCTAATAGTCAAATAATTAACTTTAACACTTCTTACAAAGTATGTGTAAACAAATTTATGTCCGTACTTTATATACAAATTATTTTCCGTATATGAATACAAATAAAGACAGATAGCTTTTTATGTATGATTCATCAAAAAATAGATATACAAAAAAGTTTCTTGTGCAAACTACAAGATTTTCTATCTTAATGAAAAGTGTAAGAAAAAAAATAATAAAATTAATTGAAAATGAGAATCAGAAAGAATGTGAATAAGGCAGCAGAAGACCACATTAAAAATGTGATGGTTGAGAGTTAAGAAATATCTATTCTTTTCCTGACTTATTAACATTTAGTCATGTTCTGTATATAGTTATGATAAAGTGAATAGAAATTACATACTAACTTTTTAAGTATAGTATATGGATATAACTTTCTCTATTAAGATTCAACTGGAAGAACCAGGCTTTTAAATTTTTACAATGACTTTCAAAAATTTTATGCTATAAATAGCTATTATTTGAGGCTGAAAAATTTCTAGTCAATGCCTTATTTTTTTATTTTACTATAATATAAAATACCCCGGCCATAGTATTATTGTGAAATGATGTGCTTTAAGAAATATTATCCATTTAAGCAACAGAAGAATGCATTGTTATATACATAATTTTGTTCCTATACACATAGATCTTATTTATATTAAAATGAAAATATCGTTACTTATGAAAACAAAATTGTTAAATGTTGAATATCTATGACAATCTCATGTCTATATAATATAAGCTAAAATAGCCGAATATACTTCCTGACTTGATGTGAATACTTTTGCAGTGGATATAAAGATAAATAGGCTCACAAAAATATATTGAATGCCAAAAGAAAGGAAGCTTGCTATTTCCAAACTATTCAGCAGAAATAGATAAAAAATATTGAAAATATATTCAAAATGGTAATGAAATACAAAAGTAATATGGATATGCATTTAATTAGTGAATGCGTTAGTGAATACGCAGCAATAGATTGACAACTGATTGATATAATGTTAAACAACTGATTCATATAATGTTAAACAAGGTCTCATCGCTAAAATGTTTCAGCTGAAATAACCAAAAATCGGTATGCTTTAACCGTAATATCAAATTCATATCAGTCACAATATAACACTTGCTTTTAGAGTGATAAACATTTTCCTATTTTTGTTTGTTTGCGCTTTCTTCTTCAACGCATATTTTAAAGATAAGAAAGAACAAACATGATACATTACAGATACTGTATTTAAATTTCATGTTCATCTACTTACAAATATATATTACTTATTTCATTTAATTTATTTCAGAAGTGGAGAAGCTCAAAAGAGGTAAGAAATAAACTATACTAATGTAGTAGCTTCATGTTTCTCCTTAGTGTTCTGATAAGTATGGCCAGGTAGACATATGCTTAAGTATGAATGACTGCTATCAAGTATTGAGAAAGGAAGTATAAAGTTGATGATGAAATCACAATAGCAAAATACGCAGAAGCAAATGCAATGCAATGTTTATTAAAGCCAAATTTCACTGGCTATTTCGTTTAGGCTTGAAACAACTTGACTGTATATTATTTATTATTTCATGTAACAATACAGCGTGTCAAAAGATATTAAATATATACAACAAATTGTTAAAAAAGATAAACCCAAACTGTTTAACTTAATCAATTATTTTTGACCATTGGCTTCGTAAAATGTACATACTTACTCTTGTAATACAATAAAAAAACACTACATAAGCTACCATAGCAAAAATAAACCGAAAAAAATCTTTTACATAAGATGTCTTGGCCATTTTACATAATTTACCGGCACATGTTATTAACATCTTTATCTGATTCCATTTTAAACCTGCAAAACCTTGAAAAGCCTTACTTAAATTTAAGTCATGAACGATTTCTTATTCGATTCTTATAATATAATTAGACAATACGCATGCTTTTACTTTATGATATTTTATACTTAATGCAGAACCTCTTTACTGAAGAGTATTAAATTTAATTGAAGATACTTAGTTTATGTCGGTCGTGGGTTCAAGCGACTTGGGCATGTTTTCCTTTTTGTAAATATTTACTCTTTTCGTTTTGTTAGAGTAATGTTTACATTCAGAAAATAATTTGAATAAAGAAGGAAATACAAATTTATGCTTTGTAAATGTTAAATGGGTGACAATAGTGTAGTTTTACAACTTGAAATATTTATATTTCTAAATCAGGACGGTAACCTTCCCTCAGTTTAAGCACTATAATTTTAAGTTTTGTGTCTAGATAATATTTATATGAAGATGTAACGATGGCCCATAGAATGATAAAGAATATTAAATATATTCTGAACCCACACTTTTCTGTTTTATCAATTCAGATACCGGTAGATACCAGTTTAAGATAACTTAATTCAATTTTAAAATATGATTTTCTTTGGTTTTGTTTCTTTTTGTTTCAAAACTATGGCTTTTTCTGTCCTCTTCTTAAGCTCAATTAAGATGAAATAAGAAAAACTTATTTGTTATTGTTCTTTGGAACTAACGCAAATATTTTACTTAAGTCATTTATTCGCTTTTTTCAAACAACAGGTAAACTTTTATTATTTTTGATTTTATGTTAAGATATGATACATTTTAATAATGTAAAATTTTAGATTTCTACAATTTTGAAACACTTTTATGATAATGGTAACTTGAATTTCATTTTAGCCAATTAAAGTAAATGGAGGAATATATTCCTTGTTTAATTAACCATTTTGCATCCATCCTTATAAAAACCTGACAAAAAGTAGTCAGTTGTCAATATTGAAAATTTATATTAAATTAAATATATTATTTTATTAATTTCAGGTGTAGTGAAAAATCTAAAAATAGGTAATATGAATTGTGCTTTATACTAGGCAAAACTTCTTCTGCACTTTTGTAAATATGTATTTATTTATAATCTTTAAACTACTTTATAAAAATGAATAACATGATACATTCATATCCTTTAATTATTCTTTAATTAAGTTTTTACACTGAAATTGAAAAGCACATAAGTCATAAACGGTATTCACTTTATCTCAGTTACTTGGTATTTTTGCCTTTGCCTGTCATATAAAAATAAAATTTTGTATTCCTCGTGTAAATCAGCTTCTATATGAATGAAATTCATTTGATTCATTTCAGATGATGAAGAAATTTTTAAAGGTAAGAATAAATATATAAATTAGAATGCAGGAAACATTTATCAGTTTTTAGTTCGACACAGCTTTTTAGAAATAATGCACAGCCGAGAACAAATGTACACTTATATAACCTCACAGGTCCGTAGTTACAAAATATTTAAACAATCAAACATGATCTTTGTAAAATGAAAAGAAGTGACACATTAATTCTTTCCAATGTTCAAACATAACAAACTGCATAAATCGGGAAAACAGTTTTCAGGAAGTAATTTGTGGTATAGGTGTCTGATGTGACATCATATGGCGTGTAAACCTTCTTTTTCATATTATGTGCATGTATCGTGATATTAAAGACTATTTCGGTTTGGCATATGACTCTCAGAAGTACAAAATCTCAACTTAAAGTCTGTTTGCTACCAAAATGCACCAAACGAAGTGACGGTCACCTTAAAGATTTGGCGAAGCATTATTTAAAGAATAGAGATATGTGATAACAACCATTGCAAATATTTCTAGGAAAAATGGATTTCAGTCAAGTTACTTTTCGGAAAATCATGTACATTCCTTCTTTTATTCTAGTTTATAATGTATGTTACGATTTTATGTTGTATTAAACAATTGATATTTTACATATATGTTTAAATACACGAAAAATTATCGGTTTGATAGTAAAAGAACGGGATTTATACACACTAATGTATCTGATAATCAAATTATTTCTTTTGAAAAATTAGTACTATAATACAATAAATATGGAAATGATGAATATAGTTTCAAAGTACTAAATGATTTTAAGATATATTCTGATGCCACGCTTCATAAATCAAACTTTCCAGATAATAAATTGTTCAATTCTAAGTTTGAAAAACGAGGTTTACATATTGCACTCCTCAACGTGAATCACTTAATACCTAAAATAAACGAAATAAAATACAATATTTTAAACAAATCGAATTCGAAATACGGTGGCATAAATGTGACATTTGCAAATTTACTTTTTGTTTAGTTTTTGATACTTATTTTTTATTTATTGTTTTTCGTACATATTTCCTTTTTTAGTTATGCATACATGTTTTATTTTAGTTTTGATTGCATATTTTTTTTTAGTTTTGTATAATATTTCATTTTAGTTTTGATAACATTTTTTTAGTTTTGCATACATATGTTTTTTAGTTTTGCATACATACTTCATTCATGTTTTTCGTACATATTTACTTTTGTTTTTCGTACATATTTTAAGCCAATCAAACAGCCTTCACATCTCATAACAGCCAAAAGTTGAGAATAAAACACGATTACAATTATAGAAGCACAGTGCTTTGGTCACATTTCGGCCCATTTTTGGAATCGGACTAGACGTTTTCGGCCGGGCAAGTCTGGTTTCAGCCGAAAGGCCGACCCTTTTCGGCCCACTTTTTAAATTATAATTATGTATTTTACATAATTATTCTTTTTTATTATATACAATTATATAAGTGTCTATTTCGAAAGGCCTGTCGATTGGTGATCAGTAATTATTCCATGAATATGCACCACTCAACCCCACACCCTGAGAATAGCTGGGGGGAATGGGGCATCGACTTTAAAATAAGCCGATCACTGGTACAATATTCGCCCTGCAGGGGATACCCAGATAATAACATTCCTGCCTTATTCCGCCCCGAAACAGCGCAAACGTCAAAACACGATTTTTTTTAACCCGCACTCCCCCAGGGCGAGGGAGGTGGTTAAAAATGACTGGTGTATTACAATAATGCACAATAAAAGATCTAAATAGGTCCTTATAATCCAACTTGGTTAGAAAAAATGCTTAAAGCTTTGAGGTTTTTTATGAATCAATTGTTTAGCACTTCCAGATGATGTGCAGAACTTATATGCCAGGTGTGCCGGCTCAAGGTCGGGGTCACACATACAGGTCAAAGAATTGTGACTTGGGTTTCATGCCCGCTCCTCATCTCCTAAACCCAATGAAGGATTTTCATGCACCTTGAGTCAAACGTTAACCACATCGAGACCATATGCAGAACCTTTCTTTGCGTCACCGCAAATTTATGTATATACAGTGAACTTCACATATAGCGAACACGGTTATAGCGAACTTCCGGTTATAAGGAACACAATTCTTTGGCCCGAATTTTACCCTTCTTTATTTAATGTAAAAAATTACGGTTACAGCGAACACGTTTATAAGGAATTATCGCCTATAAGGAACTCATTGTTTAGTCCCAATGCCATTAAAAGTACAGAAAATTACACTTTTATAACGAACTCCAAAATATCGGCTATCCGAAAACAGATCATGCATTTTCTACTTTCGTTTTCATCGCCACAGATTAAAACTTGGCCGAATGTAGCGGATATATTAGGAAAAAATAATGACGATGACAGTCAATCATCCGAAGACAAGATCAATTTAGATGATCTGCCGGTTGTGTCAAAAATGAAGCTATTGATTGTTTGCACAAGATTAGGTCATACTTAGAGTCTAATGCACATGTTAAAGAAACAGTTTTTAAAAGTTTATTGGATCTGCAGAGTTGTAAACATTCCCAAACTAAAAGTAGCAACTTCTTCAAAGCAAAGTGATTATTTTTATGCATGATACTGTATTGTTAATAAATAACAATATTGCATTTATGGTACATATCATATAATTATCTTATATATATGTTTATACATAAAAAATTATATTAAAAAGAAACTTCATTGCAATTATTCCTTTTTTTTTCTTTATTGAATCAATATAACAATGACGAACTAAAAAGTTATTTCTCTTAATCAAATGTTCTTCAAAATGGAGGGCGATGGTAAACAATTAGTTCGTTATATGTAAAACTGTTCGCTATAAAAACTTCTGATACAAGGAACTAATTCGCTATATGCTTACAAGGAACTCCGGATATAAGGAACAGATTTTGAATGTCCCAATGAGTTCGTTATAAGCGGAGTTTACTGTATATACTAAAAACTGTTGTTGTTTTTTTTTATGCCTCCAAAAATGAAAATTTTGGTATTTGCAAATGGAGTTACTAAAACTAAAAGTTTGAAAAACTCAAATAAATTATGTATGCAAAACAAAAACCAAAAATATGTACGAAAAACTAAAAGAAAAAATATATATGGCGTCATGTAAAAATATGTACAAAAAAACAAAAATAAAATATGTACGAAAAACTAAAATAAAATATATATGCAAAATTAAAAAAAATATGTATGCATAACTAAAAACAAACAAGAAAATGTACGAAACAAAGAAGTATCCAAAGCCAAAAAAAAGAAAAAATTACAAATGGTAATATGGTAAAGCAATTTAGTTATATTAGGGTTTATTCCGTGCGTATGTGAACACTCTTTCTAGTATGTTCTTAGGAAGTGTCTCTCTTACACCATGCATCTAGTAAATTAGCTATACATGTATGTCTAAGATGACTTATGCTTTTTTTAATATAGTGGTGATGCATAATTGCTAGAAAGAAACAGCTGACTTTGAACAAGTTCGTTTATCGTGTGGTTTAAGTTTCATAACGTTTACTACTTCAGGTCTAATCTAAACAGGTGGATTGTAAACTTCTAATAGTCAAATACTTAACTTTTAACACTTCTTACAAAGTATGTGTAAACAAATTTATGTCCGTACTTTATATACAAATTATTTTCCGTATATGAATACAAATAAAGACAGATAACTTTTTATGTATGATTCATCAAAAAATAGATATACAAAAAAGTTTCTTGTGCAAACTACAAGATTTTCTATCTTAATGAAAAGTGTAAGAAAAAAATTAATAAAAACAATTGAAAATTCAACTGGAAGAACCAGGCTTTTAAATTTTTACAATGACTTTCAAAAATTAATGCTTGACAGTTTGCCTTGCGACACACTTTTCAGCGCTATAAATGGCTATTATTTGAGGCTGAAAAGTTTCTAGTCAATGCCTTATTATTTTTATTTTACTATCAAATATAAAATACCCCGGCCATAGTATAATTGTGAAATGTTGTGCATTGCTCAAGAACCATCCTTCTATTTGGACTAATAACATAGTTATTGCCCTTCGTTACTTTTTATCCAGTGCATTTCTTCAAAACTAATGGTTGGAATTCAATACAACTTCATACAATGGTCAAGTGCAGTGAGATGCAGTACAATGCACAAGAAAAACATAAATATATTTGGACTAATTTCATAGTTATTTTCCTTTGTGACTTTTTCTTGTCCAGTGCATAACTTGAAAACTAGTAGTTGGAATTCAGTTCAACTTCATACAATGGTCTAGCGTAATAGGAGGAAGTGTAGTGTTTAAAAAACGTAACTCCATCTTCAGTATTTGTAGAGTTATAGAAATTTGTTCCAGTTCCTTTTCTGGTGCATAACTTAAAAAGAGGGCCATGATGGCCCTGGATCGCTCACCTGACACAACCGCATCCAAGCAATGTCTTAAACAAGCATCATGACCAAGTTTGATGCGACTGAGTCAAACATGTGACCTCCAGTGTGTTATAAAGATTTTTCCATATTTAGGCAATGTGACCTAATTTTTGACTGGACACGACCCATATTCAAACTTGACCTAGAAATCATCAAAACAACCTTCCTGACCAATTTCCAGGAAATTTGGATAAAAACTGCAGCCACTAGAGTGTTAAAAAGATTTTTCTATTTTAAGCTCCTGTGACCTAGTTTTTGACCGGACATGACCAATCTTAGCACTTGACCCAGAAAACATCAAAACAACATTCTTGACAAATTTCCAGAATATTTGAATAAAAACTGCAGCCACTAGAGTGTAAACAAGCTTTTTCTATTTTTAACTCCTGTGACCTAGTTTTTGACCTGAGATGACCCATCTTTGAACTTGACCTAGAATCATCAAAACAACCTTCCTGACAAATTTCCAGAATATTTGAATCAATACTGCAGCCACTAGAGTGTTAACAAGCTTTTTCTATGTTTAGCTCCTGTGACCTAGTTTTTGACCGGAGATAACCCATCTTCCAACTTGACCCAGACATCATCAAAAC